GACCCGGCACCACACCGGTAGGTGACTCGAAGATGTCGGCGAACTCGTCCAGCAACCGTACCACACGGGGGTCCGAAGACAAGTCCGTGGGTGAAGAGTCGGCTACCGCGATGGTCCGTAGGAAACATATGCCGATCTCCTCGGGCTGCTCGTAAGCACAAGTCGCCCGGAATGATTTGGCCATCACCACTTGGCACCGGATCGAAGAGTGCAGTAGAGGAATCGTACACGCCACTTCCGCGCCGAAGGCGTTGCGAACGCTAAGAGTCCGCCGATGGAAGTTGACCGTGTGATCCGCACTTGCAAGCCAAGGCATTCCCAGAATGATGTCGAAGTCCGTGTCGAGAATATCGAATGTCACCGGTTCGCATGCATGAGGTGCGAAGTAGACCGGTACGGCCTCGATGTAACGGTCGAGTAGTTGCTGCGTCTTTCCATCCGCCAACTTGATCGCGGTCGGGTTTGCCTTTCTCCGAACTTGTGCGCCAAGGCCAGCTCTTTGCGTAAAAGACTGGCTTATGAAGTTGCGAGTCGCGCCGCTATCCAGCAAAGCGCTGCAGGACGCTTGCCCAACCTGGATGCGGACGTACATGAGCGGTGCATTGTTGTTATCGTACCGCTGCGTGCGAAACTCGCGGGCCACCTTGGTAACGTACGCCAGGATGTCCCCCACCGCGACTTCGTCATCCGTCGGCGAAGTTGGTGGTGCATAGAAGGAAAGGTAAGTGTGGAGATGAGCGCTAAGTGCTGCGCATTGCGGTCCCGGTAAACAGCCTGTGGTCGGGAGAGGAAGCCATGCAAAGTCCTCAGACGTGAGCGGGTCCAAAACCTCTATCTTGAACTCGTGCGCCGAATCCCGTGACGAACCACTTGAAGATGATATGTCGCTGTTGCCGGACGAAGAAGAAACCACGCACACTCCTTGTCCTTGAGCTTGAGTACCCAGCGTTGGAACGAGCTGAGCAGCATAGTCCTCAAAAGAAAATAGAAGCGGAGGACTGTAGACTTCCGCGTGCGCCTTGGAATGAAGGCTGGTCACTCGCGAAGAAACCAGTTCCGAAGGGCGTCGAGAGTGTCGTCGCGTCACTCTCGGCGGTGCTCAGTTTCCCTGTCTTCCCTTGCCTTTCAATGGGCAAACCTTCGTCTGATGAAGATCGTTGTTGCACCAAAGGCAATAGTGGAATCTCTCGCGCGCCTTGTATGCGGACTCGGAGATGCCATACAGGGTCCATGGGCCTGTCTGAGCTACTGCACCGGGCCCGGGGCTAGAAACGGTGTGTGTCTTCGGCTTGCCGCGTCCTCAGCCTCTGCCGACGCGGCCACCTTCCCGGGCGGCTGCGAATCTGTCTCCTTCACTTGCAGACGCAACCTCGCTGGTTTGGTCTAACGGCGCTGCCGCTGCGACCACGACCACTCTTGGCCGATGCTGGTCCCTGCTCGGGCCTGACACAGATGAACGGAGGTTCTTGGCCTCCTTGTTCGTGATGATGATCTGCGCAGCCTTCTCAAATAATTCCGCCGTCGTCGTCAAGGTGTCCTCGACATGCGTCAGGGCATTGCTCAATGCCGGACATGACCTTGAGATGAAGTAGTGGCGGATGGCCTTGAAGCCCATCTGGATGTCTGGGACTGACGTCAAGCGTTGTACTCGGCGATCCAGTCCATACTCGGCAGCGTGCCTTGCTCGAAAACCATGAGCTTGTCCGTGGCTTTGATCTCTGGCGGCTCCACCTGGAACTGCTTGTGCCACGCCGCCTTAAGATCATCCCAGGTGATCTTGGTGTGCAAGTCATTAGCTACCACTCCGTACTTGGACAACAGGTTGTCCAACCAAGCCAGACACGCGCCCCCTGAGCGAGAGTACAAGTAGGCGTGATGCTTGTGTTCCTTGACGTTGTGGAGCTGCAGCGTGAGCTCGAACTTGCAAAACCATGGAATTGGATCTGTCTTGATTGAGTCGTGGAAGATCTCCTGCCCATTGAACTTAGGAGTTGTCTCGCACGGCTCCGGACTCGAGGTGGTGGCGGTAGTGCAGATCCGCTGCTGCAACTGTTGTGTCGCGGTCTGCTGTAACTGTGCGCCATCCTGGAGGGAGCCGACGTGCATCTCCAATGCGGTGAGGCGGTCGGCAGTGTTGGAAGAGCCTGCGTCGGCGGCGGCGACTGGTCGCTGCTCCACGCGTTGAAGGCGGTCTTGGAGATGAGCTACCGAGTTGTCGAGACCAAGGATCTCCACCTGCTGTTGAATGCAGGTTGCCAGGAGATCCGTGAGATGCGAGAGGAGGAGCGCTATCTTGTTTGCGCTATCCTCCAACTGGCTATTCTCGGCCTTGCTTCGCTATTCTGCTGCCATGGTAAGTAATGCCCGCTCTCCGGTGAATATCTTCTCACAACGCTGTGTCCTTTCTTCATCGGCAACCCTTTCTGCTGCCTCGTCGTGCTGGCGCTGTTGTTGTACGGCCAGCAGACGTGCCTGCTCGGCATCCTCTGCCCTTTTCTTGGCTGTTGCGGCAGCGTCATCTGCCCGCTTCTTTGTCTCGGTACTCTAGGCTAACATGCGGGCCTGATAGGCCTCGTCTGTTTCCCCGGCCTTCTGGTCCATGACTGCTGTCTGTGAACGCAACAGCATAGACCAGACTGGTGCCTGCTGATGTGGTATCCCTTGCTGCTGACGTGGCAATGCTGACGTGTCCTGCTGACGTGTCCTGCCGACGTAGCCTGCTGACGTAGCCTGCTGACGTGGTCTGCCGACGTACTTATGTAGCCTACTGACGTGTCCTGCTGATGTGGTCTGCTGACGTGGCCTGCTGACGTGGCAACTTACCAATGTCGTCGCAATCGCCCAACTCACAATTAGATAAGGAGTCACTAGTCAAAATAGAAAAGTTTGAACTTTGCAAATTTTTTTTTTTTTTGAGAAAATAAAAAAAATCCCGATTTTTTTTGCAAGTTCGGTAGGTCTCCCAACCTCCCTTGAAGTTCGAAATGATCACTGAAAGCAAAAGTTTTCGAYTTTGAACTGTAACCGATTTATAGAACCACTGACAGAATCCAAGAACTGCGACAAAAGTCCGAACAGAAATGTCAAGTATTCGGATTTATTCCRATGGGAATATTCGCAGTTTGAAAAAAAATAATACGTGCAGGAGGTATTTCCCGTATCGATTTCAAAAAAACGAATTTCAGAAAAGAAGATATTCCGAAGTTCTAAGTAACGGGAAATGCAACCGAAAATCGAAACTTTCAAAAAAATATATTCCAGATTTTTAACAACGAAATTTCGAAATTTCATAAAGAAAAACGAAGATAGTAATTTTAGATGTTGCGATATAGCGATTTTCCACAGCAGAATAGCGAGAAAATAAAATCCGAGAAAAGAAAAAAATTCGATTTTTTTTTTTTTTTGTAGTAAGGTCAAGATCGCGATTTTGGAGTCTAACTAGTATGTCCTAATCAAACAGAAAAGACTAACTAGCGTTTTGATCCCCGCACACGTGTCAGATCATATCGTCCTGATTCACGTGCAAAAGCTCCGATACCAACTGTTACATGCACAGATATGCAATGTACGTAATAAACCGAGAATCTGCAATGTGATGAAAAGGACTGAATAGACAATGCGGTACGAGTAGAATCTCGACAAGCAATGTACATTCTCATTCATACATAAAGATGCTGAAGAGCGCAGGGAAGACTTTGATACAAGACTGACCTGACAGTACTGACCTCATTCACATAGTTCAGAGTAACGAAGCAGAATTCTAGACTACCTCTAACTAGCCCAATCAATGTTTGAACTCAGACTAAACATGCATTGTATCCATCACGAAGTGTGAAGGAGCCTGGCGCTGCACACAGGAAGAAAGCGCCAGGTCCAGACATACACAGACAAAGAGATAAGGAACAGACGAAAGGAGGGAAGAAGGTGGGAATGTCGTTAACACCAAGTCTTGGTCACCAGTCCCAAATAGTCCCTCGTTGCCATGTCTGAACCCTCGAAAGTCGAGTCTGGATCCAATGTCACCAAGCTCTGTATCTCTTCTCTCATAGTCTGCAGATGCAGTGAAGTCAGAAGTGAGAAGGAGAGAAAAGATGGTGGACTGAGAAGAAGAAGAAGAAGAAGAACTCTCTCTCTCTCTCTCTCTCTCTCTCTCTCTCTCTCTCTCTCTCTCTGTGTTGCGAACCAAGTACTAACCTGTGATGTTGGCGCTGTGCTGCAGGTACCTCGAAGACGAAGCTGGAGCAATGGCGCTGCAGGTAGGTACCTCTGGCCTCCACCCAAACTCTCTCTCTCTCTCTCTCTAGTACTACCTAGCTATGGCGCCCAGCGCTGGAGACTACAACTACCTACTGCGCCCAGCGCTGAAGACTACTAGCTAACGCTACCACTACTACAACGCAGCGCTCCCTCCAGAGTGCTGCACCCGAATCCTGAAGACTACAACTGCCGAACTGCCTACCTGTGAAATGCCTGGGAAGTCCCTAAGTACTTCCTCGGCCTGCCTCCTGACTGCAGGAGGGCGAGCAGGCCGAGGAGGCAGCTCTTGCCAATGCCGAAGTGTGCCA